GGACTCGTGTAGGTAATGACTTATATATATGTGTATATATCTGTGTGTATTCAATGTGCTAAAACTGTTTTACGGGACTCGTGTAGGTAATGACTTATATATATGTGTATATATCTGTGTGTATTCAATGTGCTAAAACTGTTTTACGGGACTCGTGTAGGTAATGACTTACATATTTGTGTATATATCTGCGTGTATTAACTGTGCTAGGCCCGGCATGGCCAGGTGGTTAAGACACTCGACTCGCAATCTGAGGGTCGCGGGTTCGAATCCCTGTCACACCAAACATGCTCGCCCTTTCAGCCGTGACAGTCAATCCCACTATTCGTTGGTAAAAGAGTAGCCCAAGAGTTGGCGGTGGGTGGTGATGACTAGCTGCCTTCCCTCTAGTCTTGCACTGCTAAATTAGGGACGGCTAGCGCAGATAGCCCTCGTGTAGCTTTGCGCGAAATTAAAAAAACAAACAAACATTAACTGTGCTAAAATTGTTGACTCGTGAAATGTGTAAGATTTGTGTATACCTGTATTTTTTGCCCTGTTTATGACGTATATAAAAATTAAAATATTAACGATCACGGATACAAAATTGCAATTATAAGTCAATTGAGCTTTTATTTCTCAAAAAAAAAAGAATAATTTAAGAGGTAAAGCATTTTGATTATCAAAACGAGTTCCATTCTTCAGATTTCACGACCATATTTTTTGTAAGTGACACTTGTAATCAAACATTTGTTACAAAAATCATTCAGAACATTATAATTGATTTGAGCAACTTGTTTTCCCTACAGTATGGGAAATGGTACTCTCCAGTCAAGTGCGTTGAGACTATAGATTGGTTAAAATAATATTTCAATATCTATTTTTGATGAAAAATAACCGTTGTGCTCGGGTATTAAACTCTTTATATGATGTATCATAATTATATCGACGTACGTATAAATACTTTTCCACACGGAAACATATTTTAGCGCAAATGGCATAAACATAGTATTTTAGATGTTCATTTATTTAATACTATCATTACTAAAGGGTGTTCTTCAGAACATTAAAATTACCTGCCAAATAAAGAAAATGGTTCACCAGTATCCAGTCATTTGAAAGGCTTACTTTTTTGAAAATATATATTAACTTGGATGATATTTAATTTGTAAAATCTGTGAAGTTTTGATAAAGAACATTCATATTCATCCGGATGTCGTTTACTTATTTAAAATATTATATATATATATAATACAGAAAAAAATTTAGGCCAACAGAGCTTAAATTGGGCACTCAATATTTAAAGGATTTTATTATACCAATCAGATTTAAGCATGTTAATAAAAATTAATATACAGAATACAACGTATTACAAAAGTGTATAAAAGAACCTAAAAATTAATGTACATTACACATTCAAATATATGTATGGTTATCTGTGAGTAAGTTTTACAAAGTAGGACACACAAATTTTAAAAGTGGGTTAATACTTTTAAGTTGCACCCACCCATCAAACCCCAGTCAATACAAACAGATGATTAAATATACCATCTACGAATCTCCCTCACAGATGTTGGAGAAAATGTTATTTCAGTTCGTTTTGTGTTATTTATTAATTTCACTTTACGTTTCACAGTAAATGTGAAGGTGCAGAATTCTTGAGCTACGTGGGAGAAACAAGCTATTGCGAAATGTACAATAGATCGTTGCAAATCCAACTTCCTTCTTTCATAGTGTGGGCGTTAAAGTGGAATAGTTAATAAAAAAACTCCTACTGGTTGTGTTCCTGCTACTGTGTAGATTTCTTGCTTTCGGAAAGGTCCTACTTTCCTGTTGTTTTCTTTTCTAAAATAGCCTGTATCACCATTTTGAGTAAGGAAGATCCTCGGATGAGTTAACAGTTC